CTAGGAATATTAAACCAACCTGTTTAATATTCGACTACTAATAGTACTGTATTATTCACGCACCCCACAACGACAAAGGACAGTACGACAGTGCCTACTCACCAACTAACCGACGCGCCTGTCTCTCTCACCCATGAGACAAGGCACACGCCAAACGACCGTGACCATGATACAGTACCTCGGGTACTCGTATGCTAACTGTCACCATACCCGCCACACACACACAGCTCACAGGCCACTCTACAGCATGCATACGCACGGAGTAGACGTGGCTACACATACTAACTGACGAGTCCTCCCTCACTCGGCTACCGGGACGAACTGCAACACTAGTCCTCCCTCAACCGATTCCCGCCTAGAACTCATACCGTGTACACACGACACGTCACTGGCCTAGCTGTTTACACGGCCAGCGCCACTCACGGCCGCTGGAGGGGGTGGCTAACCCAACATGGCTGCCCCCATGCAGGGACTCGACTTATCTACATCGTTAATTGATGAGCTGGCAAAACAACACGAAAACGCACACTAATAAACAACAGGCATCACAAATAATTATACAATTACAAACACTGATCACCCACACTCCGGTTCCCAGGGAGCCACCCTGCTAGGAACCCGGTCTAGGGTCCGGTGCCACCGCTACAATATATATATATATTAATCCATACAGTTTTTATAATTCTATATAGTCAACATATTTTTTAAATAGATTTCATACATACACTATTGGAGTAGATGCTTACATAGCTTTGCAAGACAGTAGTTCTGCACTATGATATCCAGGGTTAAGTACACCTCATCGCTGAAATGGAACAGCCAACCAAACTTCTCAGGAAATTTCTCAGCAAGTATCTGCAAATAGGAATTCATGTAAAAAATCTAATAAAACAGCTTAATATTTTGTTCTAATCACAAAGAAATTCCCAATCGACATGAAAAGAGTATTTCACATTTTATTAAATAAAGTTAAACTGCTTTCAGGATATTGGATTTGTGTATAATACAATTTAGATATGATAACATAGTAGTTAAGGTGATAAAATAAAGCCACTTTACAGAAAAACAACAACTTTAAACTGCACTATATTTGACCAAAACGCATCAATGCACCTTGCACACGTGTTTCAATGCAGGTCTAACAGCTGACATTAAACTTTCCTGTGCCAATACTTCAAATATCGAAGGTTGATTGCTGGCATTGCTTGTCGTCGATATATTAGCGCCGTGTTCTGCCATAATTATTTATTGTTTCCCACTGTACGTTCTGCAGAATCTGTAGATATAGCAAATATCATATAGGTTAAAATAAAAAATTTACATTCTATTATCAGTGCAGTAAACATGCGTCGTGTAAGCAAAGAAGTCAGCATGTGGGTATACTCTAGGGACAAGTAGTTAATAAGACCCAAACTTCCTAACCTGGACCACACAGCTAGTTAGTTGATAGATTGTGACCAAGTGCTGATCGAACATGCAGACGCATCATGCAGAAATCACAGCCACTGACACTGATAGGGTCTATCTCTCACTGGGTACTGCCGGATTGTACCCTGGGTACAACTGTCTGGTATACCGGACTGTACCCCCACCTACTCCCAACCATACATACCCTGTTTTGAACCCCTCGACCGACTGTTGGCAGGAAGCATGCCACTTTATGGCACTAGCCTAGGCCTGTTTCCGGTACATATAAAAAACAGTCTCCTTGGCCACCCAAACACGACTGCCTTCTTGCTGCTGCCCCTGACCCTGCTGACGCGCATCTTCAATCCTTATCAATCGATCTCGCAAAAATTCCCCGTCTCCGCTCTTGATAACTCTGCATCGATCTATAGGTTGAATTTTCTTCTCGATTTCACAGTTCGATATTGACTATAGTCCGATGTACTTTATAAAGATCTAGTTTGGCGATCTGTATATATTTCATATATTGCAACATCAGTAGTAAACGGAACAGGGTACGGTTGGGAGTAGGCGAGGTACGGTCCAGTATACCAGAGTTACCAGGGTACGTTCCGGTATACCAGACCATACTCAGGCCAGGGTACAGTCCGGCAGTAGTACCCAGGGTCCAGGGAGATATATAGACCCTATCAGCGCCACTGACTTAGTCTTACTGTGGCTCATAGGGTCTATGTCCCCCAGGGTACTGCCGGAACGTACCCTGGGTACGGTCTGGTATACCGGAACGTACCCTGGTAACTATCTGATAGTGATATGGTTAGGGTTAGGGAGTAGGCGTAGGCGACTCCCTAGACTCGTTAGTGGAGTAGGTGAGGTACGGTCCGGCATATTAGATAGTACCAGGGTACGTTCCGCCCCGGGCCTTCCAGCAGTACACTGGGGGACATAGTCATAGACCCTCTCAGCCTTACTCAGTTTACTGTGGTCCCAGCAAATGTTTTTTGCATATGTGCTAAACTAATCCGGGGTGCTGGTTCAGTACTGCTAAACTAGGTTTGCCGCTTGGGCCCTGCACGAGGCTGGGGTGCCCTGCTGTGGTCTGTAATGTATATACAGAGTATTACAGTATACACATGATCATGATTCAACGACAATCACAATGACAATGTCATGTAACTCAGAAATACAAATTTAAAAAGTGCCATGCATTTCTTTTAGTTCATTATTTAACTGGTATCAATAAATAACACCCATGCGTAAGTGTCAATACCATTATTTAACATCACAGCGATGACTGCCAGTGATCATAATGTGTATGTCATGCACAAAATTCATAACCTAGTGGGCGCCGCCATCTTTGTAGCGGCTGGCCGAGCGCCCTCTGTTACAGTAGGTGTGTGTGTTGTCACTTGTCAACGCCATTTTTCGTAGGTTATCGTGTATTTACTATTTAGGCCGGTGAAAATCGACCTGAAAAGTCCAACGGAAGATTGTCACTAAACACAGGTAAGTTTCCTGAATCTGAGTCGAGCCATGGGGTGTAAGTGTGTAATGTCGGTACGAATGGTTAATTTTGCCCAGTTTAGGCTCTTTGGGGTTGGGGGCCCGTAGCGTTTTGCTACGGCAGCCCTACGCCTACGTGACGCCCCTGCATACCAAGGAGCTACATATAACATGTTATATGTAGCTCCTTGCCGCATACATGCGTTGCGTATATATATATATATATGGGCCGAGACTATACGCACGGCGGCCGTGTGATGGACTCAATATGGGTATACCATAGGCATAGTATACGTACGGCGGCCGTGTGGTGGACTCAATATGGCTAGATACCGTAACGCACGGCGGCCGTGTGGGTAGATTCAATATGGCTATACGCACGGCGGCCGTGTGGTGGACTCAATATGGCTATACGCACGGCGGCCGTGTGGTACGTGGACTCAATATGGCACACAGAGTGACACACACACGCACACGCACACGCACACGCACACACAGTGACACACTCACACGCACACGCACACGCACACGCACACACAGTGACACACGCACACGCACACACAAGGACACACAAACATGCACGCGCGCACACGCACAAACGCTCGCATGCACACGCACACACAGTGACACACTCACATGCACACGCACACGCACTCGCACACACAGTGACACACTCACACGCACACGCACACGCACACGCACACACACACAAACACGCACGCACGCACGCACATACAGTGACACACAGACGCACACGCACATGCACACACAGTGACACACTCGCACATGCACACGCACACACACTCGCACACACAGTGACACACTCACACGCATACGCACACGCACATGCACTCGCACTCGCACACACAGTGGCACACTCACACGCACACGCACTCGCACACACAGTGACACACTCATACGCACACACGCACGCACGCACACACACACGCAGTTATAAAATAGTAGTTACCTATCACGAAATGATCAGAACAAATAGTGGAGAATTTTGACGGACTCCAGTGCGTACCATTTACAATTTTACTCATTTACATTTAAGTGGCAGTCAGCCACTTATGACTTATCACGCCTCTCTGGACTCTTATGTCATTTTGGCAGCTCAAAAAAATATCTTTTCTTATCTGTGCAATATATATGATTGTGACAATCTACTACTACACAAGTTTTCGGCATATATGCAAGGAACTTAATATGCTTTTGGTTTGGAAATGGGGTATTGCGTGTGTACTGTAAGCTCACGGAGACAGGCTGTTGTTTTCACCGGCACAGCTGGTTGCTAGGTTAAGAAAGTCCCGGATGTGGCAAAGTTCCCGTATGTCCGCCCGCACCTATAGCCATATTGAGTCCACCACACGGCGGCCGTGCGTATAGCCACCATATTGAGTCCACCATACGGCCGCCGTGCGTATAGCCATATTGAATCTTATCCACATGGCCGCCGTGCGTATAGCCATATTGAGTCGGTCACACGGCCGCCGTGCGTATAGCCTTATTGAATCTTATCCACACGGCCGCCGTGCGTATAGCCTTATTGAATCTTATCCGCACGGCCGCCGTGCGTATAGCCGTATTGAGTCCACCATACGGTCGCCGTGCGTATAGCCATATTGAATCTTATCCACACGGCCGCCATGCGTATAGCCTTATTGAATCTTATCCGCACGGCCGTCGTGCGTATAGCCGTATTGAGTCCACCATATGGCCGCCGTGCGTATAGCCATATTGAATCTTATCCACACGGCCGCCGTGCGTATAGTCACTTCCATATATATATGTGGTTATACACCATAGATAGTGTTTGGTACTATCACTCGCGTATATAAGCGAACCGAGTCGGTTTAGAGTTAGTGTTAGGGTTGGGGTTAGGATTAGGGTTAGGGAGTAGTAGTCTAGGCTCTGGGGGGGGGGTGTTCGTGTACATGACTCTTTTAGAGCAAAACCTTATATTTTCTCATTCCTTATGGTAAGACTCTCAAAAAAAGTTTGGGTAACACTTCTGGGTCAAGTACGTTTTTTCTGTACAGCTAATTATGTGATTTTCGTTTAGGCGCCAAA